CTGTTTTTGACAAGTAAAAAAGCAAAGACAGGTGCAGTGAAGGTGATCAGCCATAGCATTATTATTATTATTATTATTGCTTGTCTGTTGGATCGGACCAAAATGGACCAGCCTTCGCATGCAACGTGCATCAACGACCCTGTCGCCGGTTCACAGCTTTTCCTTCCTTGGACCACTTCTGATATACTGACCTCTGCAGACCATGGTGATGCTCTGAACCAGTCGTATAGCCATCACAGTTTGGCTCTTGTGAAAGTCGCTGCCCATTTTTCCTGCTTCGAACAGATCAACTCTGAGGAAAAAATGTGACAGGTGCTCAGAGTGATGTGGATGTAAATATACAGCCTGACAGAGCTGCTAAACATGGCTGTAGATTCCTGGTGGTCTGTGCATGTGTATACAGGAGAGAGGAAGATGGAGGGAAAACTGTTAAAACATCGGGTTTCAGCTTTGAAATGGGGTTCGGCAGTCTGGCCTGGGCAAGTTTAGCCTGAGACAAAATTTAAGCCCACATAAAACTCTTAACTGAAAGAGTGAGTCCCTTATATTACTGTCCATCTTTTATTTTGAATGAAATCCAAGTGATGAACGTACTGACTTTAAATAACATCTGTCTCAAGTACATTTATCAGCGGCTTTGCCAGATCAGAATTTTGCTTCTCTCACTGCTGTCTGGTTTGGTAATAAGAACCAACACTATGAATATGCAGCCAAAGGTTTCCCTAAGATATGTAGAGATGTGTACAAAGATACAATAATTATCAATGCAGGCTGTGTTCAAGGTATCAGAGACAATTAAGTCCTCTTCAGGTTCCTCCTGACTGCCAGGGTGACATCTGCTCCTGAACACCTCTTCTTCATTTCCTTCACTGTCGGCAGCAGATGTGTCCGTCAGGCCTCATTATCACACGGTGCGAGTTCAGATCGCTCTTCAGGCTTTGGCAGCTTTCAGCTCACTGAAGGACTCTGTCAAAATGTCCTCTGATTGGTCGAACCCAAACACGGAGACGTTGATGCAATGCCAGAAACAAAAACAAAAATCATTAACAGTCAATTTATCATGATAACTCTGTCAGCACCTGAGCAGCCGCAGTGAAGGAGGCCTAAATGTTGCTGCCGTGAAGGTGTCTTCTTCTGTGTGGCTGAGTCAGAATCCCTCAGTAGACAGAAATGAGAGTAAATCCCTCTCTGGATGGCATTTGTATTACCCAGGGAGCTCAGCGAGATGATTTCCCTCCTGCACGCTGGTTATTTCAGTCAGCCATCCGGATGGAGACGTAATTTCCTGGGGGACTGTGATAAACCACCGACCTGACACTCTTTGTCGTCCACAGTGCAGCAGGACTCCAAACACAAGAGGATCAGAATCGCTCCAGAGCCTCAGCGTCCGCCTTTCTCTTCCCATATTCCGTCCCAGCTGTCTCTCTCTCTGTCAAAGTTATTTGCATTTTTATGGTTTTGGATGTCCCAACCATCAGCTTGATGTCTTGCTGCAGTTTTCATCAGGTCTTTGTAGAATGCCACCAGGTGATATAAAGACTACATTAAACTAGATTAGGTTGACAGACAGAGCTCAAAACTAAAAAGAGCCTCACGATGTTTTGCGGTTATTGTTTAGTGATTACCATCTGTGGATGTTCTGACACAACTGTGTGGTGTTTGAAGATTCAGGCTGAATCCAACATGACATGAACCTCTAATTATTCATAACGGTTCATTAATGTCAGTCCTCATTACTGGTGTGAAGCTGTAGACTGTGCTGAATTGTGGGATACACTGAGCTCTGGATAATGCTGATAATAGTGAACTGGTCTTAGAATAAGTGGCCCTGAATAACACTTAAGTGCTAAAGACCACAAATGTGGGTGTTTGTTTCATCAGCCTTTCTAAAAGCCCAAAACAAAATTCTGGAGTCATTCCAGTGGCGGAGGAAGAAATCAGATCCTTATTACTAAATTATGTGGATGTCCAGTCAGTGCTGATGGTAGATTTCAGTTGTCCTCTGAGGAGTAAACCTTTCAGGCATAATAACGCACACTCGGGCTCTTTCAGGGTTGTGGCAGCAGCGACGACAGCATTCGAGAAACACTGAAACTGCCTACTGACCTCAGGTGAAGATACCAACGATGGTCGTTCAGTCTTGGCCACAGGTAGTCTTAACGACCGTAACGACTGTCGTCACAGCAACAAGGAACACTAACGAACCAGCGGTATCGATGACCCGGGCCAACGACCCCACTGAGGTTAAATAGCTGAGTTTCCCTGCCAGTCAGTCAGAACTGAAGAAGTCCTTTGGATGAAGGACGAAACGTCTTCCAGTAGCTTCAACCAAGTCCAGTTGCCCTTGATTTTAACCTTCGTTGGAAAGCATCATATTTTACAAGTTCTTCACGTTTTAATTTGTAAATAGTAACTAAAATTAAGATAGTGGAATAAAAAGTATAAAGTTGCAGGAAAAGAAAAATACTGAAGTAAAGTGCAAGTACCTCACTCTTTCATTTAAGTATTGAGTAAATTTCTGACTACAGCCCAACCTGTTTGATTTTATTCATGAGTGGCTTTAACCTTCAAATATAAGACAGCAGGGAAGGTGCTTAATTGGCCACATTCCCCAAAAATCTGCTTTTATACTTAATTATACAGACGGTTTGTCTTTCCTGCGTTGACACTGCACGATGTTGCCCTGCCAGCTGAGCAGACAGAGCAGTCGCTGCTCGTCTTCCCCTCTCACAGTCTCCTCCAGGCTACTCTGATGCTCAGCTGGTCCACGGACCTCCCACAGTTCACAGCCCACCACGCTCTCCCTCTTTCGGATCCCAAGCAGGAGTTGTTTTCTCCTGATGCTAATGAAAGATGTGGAACCCCTAACTGCGCACTCGCATCTGCCTCTTCTCCAGGTAATGCAGGTGTCATGAGGTGATATGGATGTGGGTTGGAGAAGCTGCTCCAGGCAAGACTTACCGCGACTGACGCAGGTGAGGAGAGCTGTAGGCGGATGCTTCCCATCAAACTTTGTCCCAGTTTCTCTCAACATTCTCATTGAGTCAAAATTATACTTTAAGATGTTCAGAAGTCATCCAACTATACCTGACTTATCTTTCCCACCAGCAACATTTTCAGTTGACAGAAACTTCTTTAATGGCTGCAGGGAGTTTACTAATGCAGTTAAAGCAGAGGTTCAGCTTTTTGGGACATACGCCTTTTTATTTTCCCCGTCTTAAACAGAAAAACAACAGAATAGATCAATTGTGCAGCAGCTTGTTACGACCCATAATTAAGTACGTCTATTGTTAGACCGAGACTTCTTCTGGCCGTATGATGGGAGCACAGGAGAAAGTCATGTGATGTTGCATAAAGAGCTGTAAAATCCACATAAGGAGGTGGTCACAGTGGACGGATGGGTCAAACTATTATTCAGGGTTCGAGTCTCATGTGAAATCAAGTAAACATTAAGAATGGAAAACCGTATTTACCATTGCTATTTACAGTTGAATAAAAAGAGCCCAGTGCTTCGTCAAGAGGACAGTGAGAGACACCAGACCAACAATGCAGACGAGCTGAAGGCCGCAATCAAAGCAACCCGGGCTTCCATAACACCTCAGCAGTGCCAAAGCCTGATTGCCTCCATGCCACACTGCACTGATGCAGTAATTTATGCAAAAGGAGCCGCGACCAAATACTGAGTGCATAAATCAACCTTTTCCAGAACTGTTCAGCTTTTCAGAAGGACAACATGTCGATTTTATCCATCCTTTATTCTAATGTTCTGTTATTTTGAGAGGTGGATTTTTGATTTTCTTGAGCTGTAAACTGTAATCGTCACGATTAATACAAAAAAAAGCCTGAAATATTTCACCCATCATCAACCGACAAACAAACACTCACACCTAAGGACAATTTAGGGTAACCAATCAGCAACGCTTTAATCGATTTGAGGAGCAACGTACAAGCATCAACAAAGCATCAATACAGCAAGAGATCTACAAGTGACAATAAATACTAGTAAGGGCTCATAGCACGTGTGGCATCAGTGGGGTAGGAGTTTACAAAAAAGTGCAATCAATACAAGAGCATTGTGAGGGGACAGAAGAGGACAGGAGGAGCATGTTAGGTGTCATCAGAGAAAGTGTTCTCAGAAGAGATGAGTTTTCACGAGCTTCTAGTATTCTGAGATGCACCTGTATGTCGTTTTGAGACAACTGACAATCATCCAATTTTGTTCTTTCGGTATGAGGACGTGTTGCTGCTTTCTTGCTGAGACTTAGATGTTCAGTTTGATACCACCAACTGACACCTCTAAAGCTCCAAATAAACAACTTCCAACAACCTGTACGGCATAAATGTCATCCATGCTTGTCAACATTTTTGTCCATTTTCGTTCTTGTAGCTAGCTAGCTATGCAGGAAGATATCATCCTGATTCTAAATCTCACCTACAAAGCTCTGATTGCTCAGTAAATACAAGAAATAATCATTAATGAGCACACCTCCAGACAGAGGACAAAAGAAATGACGGAGCTGCTCAAAGCGGGGGGAAAAGTTGTGAATGGTGGTGAAACAGATACGGGAAGTAAGGTAAAATTATTTATCTTGATGTTTATGCATTCTAGTCACAGTTTATCAGTACAAAATGGTTAAAGTACATGAATTACTCCCAGAAACAGTTTAATACTACACACTGGATACTGTACTGTTTTGACATTTCCCAGAGAGCACAGGTGGAACTAATAACATTAGCAGTGTCTGCATGCTGTTTAGGTGAATCATGTGCAGAGACCTGCTGCTTCGTTGCTTTGGCTCACTGGGACACATAATGTCATCCGTTCCACCTGTGCTTCTCCTGCTGTGACATGTCAGGATGTATTTCCTATACAGCTTACAACAGCATTTTGTTAACTACTGCAAGTAAGTACTGCATATGCATGTACATCACATTAAAAAACAGCTGTAAATGTGTTTAGTGTGTATTTTTAACAGTTATTCGTCATCTGACTGTGCAGTGTGCTGTAACGCTGAAGCTATCGTGCCTGTGTGGTATGGGCGGAGTGTTCCAGCTGGTTTCCGGTGGCGCTCCACACCTGAGGCTCGTCTCCATAAGCATTAAAAGACCCGGCTTCTGTGGTAACTGGCGCTTAGGCCAATTCTAGCGTTGAAGAAAGAGTTTGTTAATCTAGTTTGAGATCTCACTGATTGCCTGTGTTTTCTGCCTTCCCTGCCAGATCTCTGCTCGCAAAGACGCATTTTATCAGCCCTGTCTAGGGAACTTGGAGCTCGGTTTCCCCCAGCCTGCCCGCTCTCCGCCTCTAACTCACGCCACCCACCTCTGCATTTCCTGAACCTGTTAATAAACTGTCATCGTGGAAACTAACCTACCTTGAGTCAGCTTTTGGGTCCTCGCAACTGCACCTAACAGAAACTGTAAAATGCATAAACCTGATAAACAGTATATGTACTATAATGAACTTTATTTTTATGCTGATCACATGTAAGTGTACCTACTTTAGTGATCTGATAAAGACTCCATTTGAGCTTATCAAGTTTAATTTTGTCTTTTTAATGACCTGTGTTCAAGATGGCGGGACAAACTGTCTGCAAATCAAATCACTTTAGTTTCTCCATTGATTCAGTTTCAGACATGGAAAAGTAATTAAAATAAGCATTTATAGGAAAAATGTGAAAGCACATGCAGTCACAGATCGCTTCAGAGAGTATCACTCATTTCATCCACCACAACAGTTCTCATGACAAAAACCCGAATGAGAGATGCAAGAAGGACACAGTTTGGCAACGGAATAAATAAATTCAGCGCTGAAACACTATCAAAGAAAACAAGTTTGTTCACAATGTGCATAAAACTCTTGCAAGAAAACCCTTATTTGACTCAGCATATAAAACAGAAACAACACTGGGTACTGTATCAAGTTCAGAGCATCATAACACTGAACACATTTCCCTAAAATATATATATATATATATATATATATATACAAAAAAACATTTCACAGAAGTCAACATTTGATAAGATAACAAGACTAATGATTGGGATTTCTGCACTGCATCTTTGACTTTACATTCTGTATCTAAGCATAAAGTTTGTGTAAACACAAAACCAGTAAGTGTCATGATCAAAAATTCAGAAAGACTTGCAATGCTGGAAATTATAACACTTTTAAACTCATTATTTTAACAGAAACAAAAACATTACATGATTCTGACTGTGAAGTGTTGCGTAACAAAAAAATGTGCACTATCATTCGGCACATATGACAAATACAGGTGCATCTAAAACAAAATTGGAAATTGTGGAAAAGTTCATTGTGAGCTTTCAAACCAGACAGAGATCAAAGGCTCAGGAGACCTGTGCACGTGTTGTGAATTAATTAGCTGATTAGAGCTTTTTTCAGGTCGACATTTCTGTATTATAGATTCTTTACTCTAAATGTCTAATACATTTTGAGATCAAGTTAGTGATTTGTATTTTCAGTACGTGTTATAGAAACTGTTCTGATAATTTTTTCAAAGCCGAAATACTAAATATACTGTCACTGCTCTGGCTGGTTTTCACCTCCATCACCTACATCTGTGAGAGAACACATTGTTAACCAGAACAAACACTGTGCAGAATGTTGAATGCACCCTCATGTGGCCCCGTTTCATTCATCCGGAGAGCCTGACAGGTGAGTGAGGACGTGGAGAATTGGAGTGTTAATTGAGTTCAGGTTGTGAGTTTATATCACTGAGTGTTGGAGCTTTTCTGAATGAGCACACTGGTAGATTTGTGTTTGTCAAGAGTTTTAAAAAAGCATTTAATAAATGTGTGAAACCGCGTGTGAAAACAGATTAATCAATGTTTAGACACTGAAACAACACTTTTGTTTTTGCCCACATTCATCATGAGCTGCACTCAAAGACATAAGACTTTCCTTATGTACACAAAAGGCCTATTTCTCTAAAATATTATTCACAAATCTGTCAAAATCTGCGTTAGTGAGCACTTTGCCGAGATAATCCATCCACCTCACAGGTGATGGGGCAGTGGAAGATGCGTGCCTTTGGTGTGAAAGATACTTAACTCCAGACGCATATTTAAAAGAGATAACATAGAAAGCAAAGTTTATTTAGTCACTAAATAAATGTAAATTATATAGCGTGTTCATTTTGAATCTTTTATAATATCTGCAGATCCCTGTACACAACAATACTAAGTAAGCGCTGTGAGCAGGGTCTGAAATTAGCACCCGCCAGATTTGACAGGTAAATTGTCAGGTCATCCGCCACTTTGGCAGACAAGGCAAACAAACAACAGAAGGACACATTTAGGGTTAGCATATTGTGGCGATCATGTGATACTTCTCCTCCAAGTAACCCATTTTACTCTGTCTCCCTTTCTAATCTGCTTCCTTCTTATCATGGCTGACATACAGTGTATATAGTAATAATAATAATATTGATCGTGTATCTTCAGTTGAATTACCTGGTTGTATGGTCCCTGGCACCTATTTCCAGGAAGAATGCCTAAAATAACAAACCCAAAATAAATCTCCTCAACCATTTGGCCTAGATGCATAATTCTGCTGTCCTTTGAAAGGTCAGAAGCTAAGGAATATAAATCCATTGTACATTAACACATTTATTTTACCATTACAGATTACATGGAGATGAAATACCGAAAAAATATTTTCATCCTCGCCTGGTAAAAAAAAAAGCTATTTTAATGCAATAAAACATAAACCATCAAAAGGTAGACTATAATGCACCTGAATATCTTCTAATACACCTGGAATACAATTGTAACTGTAAATTTGATGAAAAGAAACTGATATACAACAGTTATTACACAATCTTTTAAAAATATAGCAGGCGAATGTTTTGGCCATATTTACTGTTTATAGTAAATGTTATCTTCATCTTCAAACATTATTTCTCTCCACACAACCATGTTCCAAATAACATAAAGCTTCCAAAACTTTGAAATATTGATAAAAACAGTCAATATAAATGACCAAAAGCACTGCCATGTTTTACAGGCCACAGCTTGAGAACAGAACATCCTACAGGACTGCGAGTGAGCTCTTTCTCTTCGTACTGAAGAGACGAATCGATTGATGAATCGAACTATGAATGAAACTACTCCAATCCTATTGGTGTTACTAGAACGGTAGTGTGTGATGGCGTAACCGGAGGGGTATATAAGCACGCCGGCACACAGGACACAATAGCCCTTTCTATGAAGCAAGGCACTCCAGGCGGGGTGAGGTGTGGCGGACCGACGCAGTGTCTCATTCCCCTTCTCGGGGAACAAGGGTTAAATACGTAACCCGAGACGTTCCCCTTCGAGGGAACTGGAACTGCATCGGTGACGACACTATGGGAACGAGATACCCACTTAGGCCGCGCCGAAACCCCGCCTGCCCCCAGCGTGCAGAACCTGACGGCACGATTAGGAGGAGAGCGCACGGGTGCCGGGTGCAGAAGGAAGGTCCAGACTGTAAAACTGGATGAAAGTGTGAGGGGTGGCACAGCCAGCCGCGTCACACAAATCCTGGAGTGACGCCCCTGCGAGGAGGGCCCTAGGAGCCGCCATGCCTCGAGTAGATTGCGCCCTTACGGCCATGGGTGAAGGCAAACCGCGCACATTGCTTGGCAACAGGCGGTGCAGCAGCCTTTGGTGGGCAGCAAACTGGACGAGCAGTTTCTGCAACACCGAGCGCCACCCCCGCGTCGGCCCGTACAATTTTTTCACAACGAGTTGTGTAGATCGTGGAACAAACCCTTCTCTGCACAGCTGTCTACGTCCCCCCGACTGGACTACGGCAACGTGACTGAGATCAGACAGCACGGCTACGGAGCGATGCCATGGGTGGAGGAGGCGCTGGCTAGTTACCTCTCTCCCAATCTCGTCTGATCCCTCCGTACACAGGCGCTCCCCACCAAGCCATGTCGGATGACATCCGATTTGGTGGGCAAGGCCTACATGGCAGTGGGTCGAGCTGGTGCCAGCCTGCACAAGATGGCTGTCTTGCAGGCGTACCAGGCCGATCTCCTTCGGGACTGTGACTTAGGGGGAGGTCCCTCTGAGGAGGACCTGACTGAGGCCCGTAGAGCGATGGACTTAGCTCTCCGTGTGACCAAGGAAACGGTCCGTTCCATCTGTCGATCCATGGCGGCTTTGGCGGCTACGGAGCGCCATCTGTGGCTCAACCTCTCAGGCATCCAGGGGAAGGAGAGGGCTTTTCTCCTGGATGCGCCCCTCTTGCCTACTGGCCTGTTTGGCAAAGCAGTGGATGCTGTCGTCAACAAGTTCCAGCACGCCAAAAGTCAGGGAGAGGCATTTGAGCGATATCTCCCGCGCCGGTCAGGCTCCAGGACCGCGACGGCTCAGGAAAGGCAGACGCAGCTTTCGTCCAGCACCTACCGCCGCAGCCAGAAGCAGAGCGTCGCTTCACGGGATCTCCCTCAACCAACCTGGGACGCAAGACGGCGCTCTCGCCCACAGCCCCCCGAGAAGACGGATCTGAGAACCGTCATTCAGTCTCGGCGGGCCCAGGGGAAGAGGTCCTTAAACTTCAAGTAGGGGGACCCGCTTCCTCCCCCTGAGAGAGGTTTGCCTTCAAATATGGCCATAAGGGCGCGCTCTACTCGAGGCATGGCGGCTCCTAGGGCCCTCCTCGCAGGGGCGTAACTCCAGGATTTGTGTGACGCGGCTGGCTGTGCCACCCCTCACACTTTCATCCAGTTTTACAGTCTGGACCTTCCTTCTGCACCCGGCACCCGTGCGCTCTCCTCCTAATCGTGCCGTCAGGTTCTGCACGCTGGGGGCAGGCGGGGTTTCGGCGCGGCCTAAGTGGGTATCTCGTTCCCATAGTGTCGTCACCGATGCAGTTCCAGTTCCCTCGAAGGGGAACGTCTCGGCTTTCATTCATAGTTCAGCCCTGCCACGCCCAGAGGCGTTCCCATAGTGTCGTCACCGACGCAGTTTGAGTTCCCCTTCTCGGGGAACAAGGGTTACATACGTAACACGAGACGGTCTCTGTTGACACAAAGGCCCGCTGCTTTTTGGATGGAAAACAGAACAGCGAACATCGATTACCTGCCTGTTATCGGGTCGGTCCATTACCAAGGTCCAGTGATTGTCTTGTAGCAAAACACATCAGTCCTCTTGTGCATGCAAACATAATGTTGTTGTGTAAATGGATTGATCATTGAATGAGATTTAAATTAAACCTAAATGAGCTGAATGTTGTTCGTTCATTTAGCACTTACATTTCTGAAGATAAAATGTCTGAAAAGCCTGGACTCATTTGTTTTATTGAGCAGTATTCAGCAACACTCTCCTTTCAGCTCTGGTTTGGCCTCCACCAACTCCCG